CGATCCAGGAAACGAAGCTGAGTACCACACGCAGGCTTCAAAGTTGTGATGGATACAACGTTTTGAGGAAGGATGGCACCAGAGGTGGAGGATAAGCGTTCCTTTTGCACCACTCTGCCCAGTACCCATCATATACCTATATCGCCTGAAATTGACCCTAGTGACCCGTACATGGAATGTACGGTCAAGTGTGGAAACGTCGAGGTAGAGGTGCTTAAATTGTACATACCGCCGTTAAAAGAATAAGGGGAGACTGCCACAGTTCGCCGGACATATACATCATGTCCCCAGGTCTGACAAATGACATAACGTGGCAACCAGTCAGCTCCGTATTATTGTCGCCATCAACAGACCATCCGATTTCATACGCTCTGAACGCCGTAATTCCCTTAACCATGGGGAAGCCAACTGGCGAGAATTCAGAGAATATACCAATCACCGCTTCAGAGAATTGCCCAACCCATCTGATATTCAGGTAGCAGATAAATGTTTCTTGGACATCATCAAAGCTGCAGCCGCTCGCTATATACCAGATAGTCGAATACCTGAAATAAGACCAAATTTCCCAGCAGAGGCAGCGGGATTAGCAAATGCGCGAGGTGAGCTTCGTCATACTCACCGTAATTACCCCATGTCAGGGAACTTACTCTGGAGGTAAACAGGTTAGTCAATGACCATAAGCGGAAAGGGTGGCTACACCATCTGAAGCATTGCAACATAAGTACCGGATCGAGTAAATTGTGGGCAACGGTCGATCTCGAACCCTGGAAAAGGATGATCGGACATCTGTCTCATTTAACGACGTAGAAGCGACAGATCCGAAGAGGTGCGTGTGTTATTTCAAACGGCAATTTATAGAGCACCCCGAGAGTGGCAGGGCTAAGAGAAGAATCCTACGCCGTGTACGATTTCTTCCAGCCGTTGCACATGTCATCTGAAGCGCAAAGTCGTCCAAAGCGCTTGGTCCTGACGGAATCTCTATGGTGATGTTGAAGCAACTATATGAACCAGAAGTTGAGTATCTCAACAAACTCCTCAACCTGTTGTTAGTCACACTTATGGTTCACGATGCCTGGAAAATGGGCAGGGGGGTCCCGCTACTGAAGCCAGGTAAGGATGCCAGCAAAAGTGACTTATAGGGGCCGATATCACTTTTGTCACCAGTAGCAAAGACGCTTGAGGCTTTTTGGAAAATGGGCCGGGTGGTCCCGCTACTGATGCCAGTAAAGGCGAATCGTACAGGCCGATTTCGCTTTTGTCGCCAGTAGCAAAGACTCTTGAGGCTTTACTCCTCCCCAGCATTAGAGGAAGCTATACAGTTGCCAACCACCAGCACCAGTTCCGTCCACAACAGCATTACACGCCATTTCCACACATCTTAGTAGAGAACTGAACCAGAACAGGCCGTGTGACAGAACAGTGTTGGTAGCCCTTGACCTATCAAAGGCATTTGATACGGTCAATCATGCCACACTGTTTGAGGACGTGTAAAGAACTACCCTCCGGCCAAGTTTGAAACGTTGGATAATCAACTATATGTGGGGACGCCAGTCGTACGTGGAATTCCGGAACAAGAAGTCCAAAGCCCGTAGAGTGAAACAGGGAGTTCCCCAAGGTGGGGTGATATCTCCGGAACTGTTTAACCTCTACCTTTCCGGAATTCCTCGCCCTCCAGAAGGCATTGAGATCGTAACATATGCGGATGATTGTACGATCATGGCGTCAGGCCCAGTGGTCGATGACATATGCGAAAGGTTGAACCCCTATCTCACGGAGCTTGCCGCATACTTCCACGCGAGGAATATAAAAATATCCGCCACGAAATTAACGGCCACACTCTTTACCACATGGTCTGCGGAGATGAGAACACAGCTGAATGTTCAGGTCGAGGGGAATCTAATACCGACCACGAACTACCCCAAGATTCTTAGGGTCACGTTCGACAGCATGTTCAAGTCGTCCGCGCAAGCCACAACTATCTGCGACGGATGCTATTAGCAGTTATAATGTGAATGCCGTCCTCGGAGTCCACCCCCATTCATTGCAGCTGAAGAACGTCAGCTGCCTAGACAAACCAGGGTGGTTTTGGCGAATTACGTTCAGGATGGTGTAGTCGTCTCAATTCGTATTGGGCACGAATTGATGAAGATGTGCGTGACGCCTGCCCGGCGTGCGAAAGAGGCCCGCACAATACGCTACACCTTTTTAATTGCTCAGCCAAACCCACCCAACTCACTCCAGAAGATCTCTGGCTACAGCCCGTTAAAGTAGCCGAATTTCTAAACCTGGAGCTGGAACCAGATTAGCTGAACGCAAACACATACATGTACTACTGCTACAACAACAACAACGCTTGAGGCTTTACTCCTCCCCAGCATAAGAGAGTGTTTACCAGTAGCATAGTTGATCTAACCGCCTTTTTCACTGCGAAGAATATGAAGATATCCGCCACTAAATCGACGGCCACACTTTCCACCACAAGAACTGCGGAGATGGGGCTATCTTTGAATATTCAAGTTGTCCGCTCATATCACAGCTATTTGCGATAAGATTAGAAGTAGGAGCAATGTTCTCAAGTCTCTGGCCGGAGCACTTGGGGAGCTGATAAGGAACCGCTACAGTTTACTTTCTCATGATACCCGTCGACCAACTACATGAGGAGGCGAAGGTCTTACCGGCGAGGCAGCATAATAAAATGATGTCAATACAATACCTGCTTGGGTGTTGCAGATAGTGCCATCCGAATCACCATTTGGTGGATAGGCAACCTCTGCCCAGGCACGTAAGAAAATACCTCCATGATCTAGAGAGGGAGGTACAGATTTACAAGGGAGAACCTCTAGATTAACAGGTATACCCAGCAGGCCTGTATGGTATTCACTCAGACGCGGAGAACTCATGGAAGGATATACAATGAATACTGTACTAGGAGACAAGATTTGGAGTGAAGATGGTATAAATTGGTTTACCACATCTGGTACCTCCACCAAATAGGGTCAACATTTTTTAAAAAGATGATATCTCTCATGAAATGTGAAATTCGCATTTGATTCATTCTAAACCTCACGCATCAAAATTTTTCTAACACATGATCTGTTTATCGGTCCATTCCTTCTGGTACCTACCCCACAATAATAACAATTTTCAATATTTATATCCCTCATAACGTGCGAAACAATATGTTTATCAGCATTAAATGAAGTGGAATACTTCGTTCCACTATACAGGGTGAGATGAAAACAACTGCAACCAACTTCATAAAAGCATTTTTGTGAGAATTTTTCAGAAAAAAGTTATTTGTGATGGAATTCAAGCGTGATATTGTAATTTCTTTATATTTGGCTGGAAAACCACAAGTGGCTATCATTAGAGCACTCCAGCATTTAAATGTGAATAAATCTTTTGTGTCTCGTACCATCGTTTGTTACCGTGATACTGGTAGCGTAACCGAACTTCAAGGAAGTAGACGGAAGAAAACATCATCATCAGCAGAAGTGGTACGAAAAGTAATGAAGCGACTTGATGGAAACCCGCGTCGCAGTGGAAGAAAAATGGCCCGTGAGCCTAACATATCGCAATATTCCATTCGGCAAATATTGAAAAATGAGCTCGGGGTAAAGCCATTGAAATTTCAAAAAGTGCAAGAACTTACACCGCAACAAAAAGAAAATAGATAGAGAAATTGAGCAGGTCAGCTGAAAATGTGCACTTTCGGTTGGCCAACAGAACTCAACCGCCGACCATGGTGATGGTGTGGGCCGCCATAACAGCCGATGGTCGCTCTCCGCTCGTATTAATAGACCGTGGCATCGGAATAAATGCCGAATATTATCGCGAAAATATTCTGGAGGGTGTGTTGAAGCCTTGGGCACGCAAACATTTTGTCCGCAGACCTTGGACATTCCAACAAGACTCAACACCATCACACTCAGCACGCGCCACCCAAGAATGGTTAGTTAATGGCCACCAAAATCTCCGGATACCAATCCGTTGAACTGTTGTGTCTGGAGTATTTTGGAAAGCAAGGTTGGCACTAAAAATTACCAAAGTGTCGATTACCTCAAGCAAGCGCCCCTCTGTATATGGTACATCACGAATATTTCAACATTTTACAAAAATTATCACATATCTAGAATTAGTCGATCCAAGTCCAAGTCTGGCACGTTGTAATAGTTATATCAGACATAGGTCAGATACAAAATGGACAATATAGACCCACTCCTTTGGAACCCACACATAAAGGGTCGACAGTTTGAACAATTATGCACTTAATTTTAAACTTGTTTGAAGTATATCCAATTAGAAAAAAGTTTTGTCATTGGTTTAGTTGTCATATCTCTATGGTGGAGAGCATGGTATAATTATTACAGGTAGCAGCAAGTCCCAGCTGATTTCACTCTATAGTAATGCTGGTGTCAAACTCGATAAGACGTTTTGTGATTTAATTCCATTTCTCGACATACAATAGGTATACCATCTTAAAATATAAAATTGCACTGCAGCGCAATGTGAACATTTTTTGGCTCATAATAATAGAAAAAATCGCCGTAGTGCTTAACAAAATGTGAACTGCGAATACTTTATATATGTATGCTTTATACTTTATATGTGTATGCAGTTTGGTTTCAATATGAAAGGGATGTTGTTTTTTCCACGATTTTCTAGCGATTGCTAGAAGTGTTGAGAGATTAGGACATACAGCTAAAAACTATACATTCAGGAGAATGATATGAAAGCATTCAAACTGAATAATTCAGGAACTATTCTTCTGCATTTTAAATTTAATAATCCAAATTCCAAAAATGTATATTTTTAAAATTAAAATTATTTATTGAGAATTAATTATTTTGTTTGCATTTTTCGACATATAACTCTGACACTTGTATTACGTACAAAAACAAATTTGTATGTGGTTGTTGTTACGATTGTTGTACAACAACACTTGCTGTTACCTGTATTTTTCTACCATGGGTGGAGAGCATAAAAATATATTTACTTACTTTATGATTGATGGTGCTAATAGATAGCCAAGAGGGTTCAATTGGGCATTCCACGAGAACTCTAACACCAATAGTAGCCTCCAACGATCTGGCTTGCGCTATCCAATGCTCTTCCGGTTGCTGCCAAGGAAATACAACGCAGCATTTGTTGTTATCCTTATTTATTTTATATATTCCTAGCGGTGGCAGCTCGACAGCAGCAATTTCTGTTCTTTTATCTAAAAAAGTGTTTTATGATATTGTAATACATAAAATAATTATAAATACATACCTTGCGACAGATACGAGGTACTTAGAATTCGTAAATGACTCTTGCTATTCTCCATGAGCAAAGAGTTTCGACCCAAGCTATCCCTCCCGAAGAATAGATTTCCAAGGCGATTATCGTAAAGTATAAAGCTGAATGGCCCCTCGATGGATCGAAAACAACTTATAAGTGCACGTTCGTCTTTAGCCCCGGAAATCTTATTGAAAATCCAATTAGTATCTGATATTTCACAAGCATTTCTGGGCAGGTTAAAGACGTCTCCATTAAAAATAAATATGTGACGATCAGTTTTTATTGGTTGTGGACACATTTCAGTGCCCTGATGGTGCAATACAAAACCGGCAAAAATAATCTCATTTACAGTGAGAATGGATTCTGAATTTGGACCACGGTTGTGGAGTATTCCAATCAACTCCTTGAAATAAATAATTCGTCATTTACTTTTATGCCTCTAATATAACATTTAATTTTTATAAATTAGAATATTCAAACCCATACTTTGCTCAAACACTCATGATCCGTTTTGGAAAAACAACATAATATTCCGCACATTTCCTTCCTTCAGTGTGCAAGCGCGTGGGAAACAAAAATTAAAGTCGTCCGCAACGAAACAAATACGAAATCAAAAAGGAATGCCCTATAAAAAAGCAAAATCCCCGAGGGACCTCTGTTGTTTACGAATGAGACATGAGGAAATCGAACCGCTGGACACATTCATTAAATGAACCGCGGGAGTAAGTTCCTTCAATTCGACGAAGTTCGTCATTTTGACGCCGTTAAGAATATTAAACTGAGTACAAGCTACACTCCTTGGCAAAAGTTGCAAGGTGTAATCATGGTAGAAGAATACAGGTAGATGTATCAACGCTTGATAACATTGGTATGTCAACATTTATAAAATGTTTTGTCAAAAATAAGTAGACTTTTATGTGCTTTCTTACACGACGAAAATCGGAGGTTGTTCTGATAAGTAACTTTTAAAAATTTTTGCAAATTTCTATTACTGTTCATTCAAGGTCTTCAATTCGGAAATAGGTTTGACAGTTCATTGTCCCAGCAACTGTCGCATCGACACAGACTTCTACCATGGGTGTATGAACAATTGTATTAGGTTTCAAAGCATAAGGTATGTACCATCCAGTCGCTTATCAACCTTTGTTGACACTAGACTTTTTCGCGCTGGTCGCTTTTTTCACAAACAAACACAACAAATCAACACAAAATCAAAACACAAACAAAACTCCATTTTTTTCTTTTATCTTGATCAAACAAATTTTTTGCGAAATTTTTGCCAAGTCTTTTATTTAAACAATTATGGAGGGAGTCGGAGACCCCCCTCCTCCACCTGTTCCCCCACCACCTATTGGGGATACCAATAAAAGAAGAGCCAAAAACATTGAAAATGATAATAAAAGTTTTAAAAACAATAATGGCCAACCAATAAAAAATACCAACACCAATAAAATAATTTCATCCAAAACCACGGACAAAATGGACACCGAATACAATTACAATTCGCTAAATGATGGAAATGTACTGTATACACCAAACCATCCAGGGCCATTTTATGTCATAGTGTCGTCAGAAACGCCAATCAGCTCTAGGAGGAAAAACTGCGAACTCCATTTGTATATACGTCTAAAGCAAATCAATCTCACTAACTATGCTTGCAAGTGTGTGGGATATAACACTTTTAGAATGACGTTCAACAATTTTGAATCTGCCAACTTATTTGCCACAAATCCCAATTTAAAAACTGTTGGATTAAAGGCATACATCCCAGAGAGATTTGTTCAACGTTTTTATATTATCAAAAATGTACCTACGTGCCTTTCTGCAAATATTATAAAGGATGAAATTATGCAAAACAATGAATGTATGGAAGTAGTCTCAATTTATCGCTTTACTAGGAAAAATGATTCTGGTTTAATCGTACCCACAGAAACTATAAAGATTGGTATTATTTTTGATGGAATTCCTACGAAAATATATATGTGTGGAACAAAAATAACACCGGACTTGTATGTACCACCTGTTCGGCTGTGTTTAAACTGCGGCCGTTTAGGCCACATTGCTCTTCGTTGCAGGTCGACGAAGTAGTGTCTAAACTGTGGAAAAGATATTCTATGTGCTACAAATTGCAGTAAGGAAAATAGATGTTTAGATTGTCGTTCTACAACAACCTGTAAAGAACTATGCACGTCTCCAAGATGTATACTTTGCAACAAAATAGATCATCTTGCAACAGATTCCAAAAATTGTTTGAAGTGGAAGTCTGAAAGAAATATTAGCAGCATTATGGCCCTAACAAACCTATCTAGAAGGGAGATTCTCCAAAATTACCCAGAGACAAGAAATCGTTTCCAAATTCTTTCTGAACGTGATTTTAATAATGAGTTCCCGCCTCTCTTAACAAACAGGACTCCAAAAATTAATATACATGATGCAATTAACAAAAAAATTACAAGTATTAAATATAGCAAAGTTGCGGCTCCAATAACGAAAAATCAACATGCCATTGCAAGCCCAATCCATGTAAATCCAACCAAAGCAGTATTTGATCATCAAAATTTTTCTAAAGTGACAGAAATAGAAAGAGCATCATTTTTAAGGCAAATGTCCACAATACTTACGTCTCTTAACTGCACAGAAGGTCTTGATGTTTTAAAGAAATTTCAACAAATAGTCATTCCAGCATCAGCAAACAACCAAAGCCCATATACATCAGAAGCCAATGAAGAAAGCCAATTAGTAACATCCTGAAAAAGATAAAGTGTGATCAATCTGAAATAACTGCAAATAAATAATAATAATTTTTTTAATTATCCATGAACATCTTACAATACAATATACAAAGTCTTAAAAAAAAAACAAAAACTCTCTGGACTTCCATTTAAGAAAACTTAACATCGATATATGCTTCCTGAGTGAAATTTTCAATATAGATGAAAAACAAAATTCAACAACTTTTCAAAATTATAATATAGTTTCAAAAAAGAGAAAAGACAATTATGGTGGGGTCGCGATAATTTTAAAGAAAAATATTCAGTTTAAAAGAATCTCTTTTCAATCAACACTTGACATACTAATTTGTCAAACCACTAATTTAAACAATAATCTCACTTTAGTTGCTGTCTATTTCCCACATTCCGTAAAAAGCATAACCATTAAAAATGAACTTGAAAAAATAACATCCTTCCTCAACTCTAATCCAAATACATTTATCTGTGGCGATTTTAATGCTAGACATTCGGCCTTTGGTGATTTTTTTGATTCGCAACGTGGAAAAATGCTTAAAGAATTTTTTGACTATTCAAACTTTCGATGTTTAAATGATGGAAGTTACACTTTTAAAAAACGAATCAATGACAATACGGGATCTGTTTTAGAACTATCATTTACCAACTCAACTCTGTCACTATCTTGGAAAGTTCAAAAAACAACAATTGGAGGAAGTCACCATCTCCCAATAATTCTGAAATTGAGCGATACTATTTCCAACGGCAAAAAGTTCTTAGCGAAAAAAAGCTCATAAAAATCTTGCAATATTAAAATTGAATCCGGACTTCGAGGAAATCAACTTCGCCATGCAAGCTGAAATCAAAAAAGCTACGTATGTTATTGATAACAAAAGAAATCCAAAACCTTGGTGGGACCCTTTTGTCGAAAAACAATTTAGATTGCAAGTAGCCGCGCAAAAGAAATATGATTTACATAGCAATGACACTAATGCTCTTAATCTTTTCCAAGCCATTAAAAATTTTAAAAACGCCACAAAATATGCAAAACGACAATCTTTTAAATCAAAAATTACAACTTTAAATATGGAGCCTAACTCAAAATCATTATTTCGTCTGGTTAAAGGATGTAAGAACAGTTTGTCATGCAATAACGGTGGGAAATGGTCCGAAAAACAACAAAATATTTTTAATACACCTAAGGGATCAAGTGTTGAACAACAGCCATATTACCTTCCCTCCAAACACGCAAAGAACACCCGTCGAACTCACAATGGAAGAATTCTCATATGTCTTAAACAGTAAGAAAAAACCTTCAGCAGCAGGATTAGATGGCATAACATATGAGATGATAAATAACTTATCAGAATCATCTAAATATAATCTTTTTCAAGCAATGAATACAGCTTGGAAAAAATGTGAATTAAGAGAAAATTGGCGAAAAATCAAAATTGTTCCAATCCCAAAGAAAGGAAAAGATCTGGAAATATTCACAAATTTTCGACCAATATCATTAATATCAGTTTTTCTCAAAATTATAAACCTTATGATCAAAGAAAGATTACAGCCATTTCTTCAGGAACAAGATATTCTTCCGACCAACACATACGCATACAGGAAAAACTTCTCTTCATCCATGTGTATCAATCATTTACTATACACAATAAATTATCATAAGGAAAAAGGAGAAAAAGTAATTCTACTGTCTATAGATATTGAAAAGGCCTATGATTGCGTAAATCTATTAATTCTTTATAAAATTTTGTCCGAGATAAACTGCCCGGAAGATATCAAAGATTGGACAATAAACTTTCTTAAAAAACGCACAATTGTTATGGGCAATGAAATGATAGATATCTATAATGGATTACCTCAAGGCAGCTGCTTAAGTCCAATACTTTTTAATATATATATACGCTTGGTCTACATGGGATTGCAGATCAAAACACATATTTATTTCAATTTGCGGATGATTTTATTTTACTATCCACTCACAAGGAATTTGAAATGGCAAATGAAAATCTACAACATAAAGCAAATCATTTTTACCATATTTTATCCCGCTTGAATCTTAAATACAACCCTGATAAAACCTTCGTCATGTATGTAGCAAAAGGCCCTCGTAAAATCCCAAATATAAAGTTACAAAATACAAACATAAACTCTGTTGAAAAAATAAAATTTCTGGGAAGATATATTAAAAACAGTCTATCGCTAAAGGAACACTATGATGAAGTAATGAATTCCTGTACCAACTCACTAAACGCATTAAAAATGATAAACAACGCTAAAAACGGATTACTCCCAAACATATCAATAAATTTAACAAAATCCCTAGTGTTCTCTAAGACAGAATACGCAATATCATCTATGGCCCACATGCCACAATATCTCAACAAAAAGCTAACTAGCTTTCAAAATCAAATGCTTAGAAGAAGCCTTGGACTTACCCCTTCCACACCAATACACAACATCTATGCACTGGCTGTTATGCTTCCTCCTGAACAACGTTCTCAGTATCTTGCAGCTAAAGAACTAATAAAATTCAAAATGTATAACAGTACGCTGTACAACTGCATCACCACAGATTCCTCTGTAAAAACAAGTTTGGGTTTTATCTACAACAAATTTAAACACATCCTTGACCGAACTATGGTAAATCAAAAAAGGATACCTTCAAAGAAAATAAGCTTTTTAGATGATCTCTTTAAGGCACTAAAGCACTCCAAGTCCAATGAATTCTCTAGAGCAATTCTTCAAGAAAAACTAGTCTGTCTAAAAAACCAGAGTCATTCCATATGGTCAACTGATGCATCAGTCACAGACAGTAGTACAGGTTGTGCGGTCTGCAACATATCAATGAAACAAAATTATGCTTTCAGAATAACATCAAAAACCTCTTCTCTAATGGGAGAACTACACGCCATAAATAAAGCAATTGATATAATGATTGAGGAAAACACGCTCAAAGCAGTCATTCTTACGGACGGTAAAAATGCCTGTCTTACACTCAAGACAAACACACACCATAATTATCTAGCAAACGACATAATTCACAAAATAAACAATTCTAACTTACAATCTCTTATTTTCATATGGACTCCCTCGCATATTGGTATACCAGCAAACGAACTCGCAGATTATTTCGCCAAACACGCAGCCACAGCTGGCTGTATAATTACCACCAATGCTTCAATTACAGACGCATACTCTGCAATTTATGATCATCTATGGAAAGAATGGGTAGATAAGTACAAGGATGCATCCGAAACTAAGGGTACTTACTTTTCACAATTCTTCAACACACCACCAAAGTCTTACTGGTTCACTGGCTCAAAGATGTCACCTGGTAATATAAAGCTAATAAATCGTTTACTCACTGGACACACTTACGGCAAAACATACTTACATCGCATTAAAGTCGAGGCCTCAGACATCTGCACACTTTGTGGAATCACTGAAAGTGAGGATCACCAAATTTTTGTTTGCCCAAAATTCTGTAACGAAAGGAAACAATTTAAAATCTTCGAAAGGTACAAGGACTTACCATCAATTTTAAAAACCTTCTCGCCAGAAAATTTCGTCGAACTATCAAACTTCATTCACAAATGCAATCTTCAACTCTGATTTTCTTTGTGTGATAGCAGAAACATAAACAAAACAAAGAATACGATTATTAAGTAATCAATAACCTAGTAATTTGGCATATGTGTACTTCGGGTACCTGCCAACCATGACGAAGAAGGAGAAAGAGAATCACAAAAAAAAAAAAAGGTATGTACCATGGTAGAAGAATACAGGTAGATGCACCAACGCTTAGGAACATTGATATGTCAATTTTTTTTTAAAATGTTTCTTCATAACCAAGTGGAATGGATATGTTTTGATATGATGTACATTTTTTAATATATTTTACAAATTTGAATAATTTTTCATTCAAACATTCAATTCCAAAGTTGGTTTGACAGATCATTGTCCCAGCAGCTGTGTTGTTGTTGTTGTAGCAGTAGTACATGTATGTGTTTGCGCTCTGCTAATCTGGTTCCAGCTCCAGGTTTAGAAATTCGGCTACTTTAACGGGCTGTAGCCAGAGATCTTCTGGAGTGAGTTGGGTGGGTTTGGCTGAGCAATTAAAGAGGTGTAGCGTATTGTGCGGGCCTGTATCGCACGCCGGGCAGGCGTCACGCACATCTTCATCAATTCGTGCCCAATACGAATTGAGACGACTACACCATCCTGAACGTAATTGCGCCAAAACTACCCTGGATTGTCTAGGCAGCTGACGTTCTTCAGCTGCAATGGATGGGGGGGGTGGACTCCGAGGACGGCATTCACTGTATAACTACTAATAGCATCCGCGACTGCATCGGTGTGAATGCCACTCAGACCTGCCTTATAGGCTTCTTGATCTAGAGGTTCTCTCTTGTAGCGCTGGACCTCCCTCTCTAGATCATGTATGTCCTTCCTGACATGCCTGGGGGGAGATTCATCCACCATATAATGGTTGGGATGACTCTCACGTTAACACCCAAGCAGGTACTGCAACGAAAGCATATGATTATGCTGACGTAAGGGAAGGACTTTCGCCTTCTCATGTAGATGGTCCACTGGTGTCATGAGAAGACACCCTGTCGCAGTTCTCAGGGCAGAGTTCTGGCAGGTCTGGATATGCTTCCACTGCGTAGCACTAGTATTCGCAGACCACACTGGAGCCGCATAGCTGACCACAGACAGACCTATCGCGTTATAAGAGGTAAACAAGGTTTCTTTGTCGGCACTCCAAGAGCTGCCGGCTAGCGTCTTGAGGACCTTGTTCCTACTTTTCATCTTGTCGCAGATAACTGTGGCTTGCGCGGACGACTTGATAACGACTACGATAACTTTTCAAGTAGAAAATATTAAAAAAAATACTGAGAGAATTTTCTCTCTCACGTACAAATATAGCAATAAGTTATCGAGTTCATTAAAATTTAGCGAGACAAGAGGTGTTCCGGATTTAAACTTACAAATTTTTAAGAAAATAGAATACGTATTAAAATCTTTTTAGTATTAAATTAGTTACGTGGTGTCATGTATGGCACAATGACAAAGTAGGGCATGCCAATCACCTGAATACAATTCTTTTTTTTTGGTAGGTTGTAATGCCATAACGTGTATGCAGTTTTTATGTGTTTGTATTGTCTTGATTAATAAACAAAATATTATTCAAGTTTGTTTTTATTCGACCTTGTCCAATATAATTGAAATAAAGTTTTTCTTTGAGCTTTAGGTCTGATTTTTTTTCTTTATTCGATTTTATCCGATGTTTCGCAATGGATTACATTGTATCTGTGGTGTGCGCCTCTTAAAGGGTTTACCATTAAAATAAATGGCAACGAAATAATAATAAGAGTGTTGCCAACCATTTTTAGCAAACAGCTGAGCATTCCAGTTGCCTAAGTGTCAACAAAGGGGAAAATAAAAAGGAAAAAATAAATCAAGAAAATGGCAACCAGAATTTCCTGGCCAAAATTTTCAGAAAAATATTTCCTATTTGATTTTACCTGCTTCCCGTAACCAGCAAAGGAAACAACCAGCAAAAGTATTTGTGATGAACAACTTGTTGAAAAGTTAATCCAATTTTTTTATATGTTTGAAGCATATAAACAAACAACACAAAATACAAACTTCTTTTTAAACAAAACTGAAAGCCTTAAAACAATTAAACAAAATTTAAAGACAAAAGGCAAAAGTTGAAAACTTATAACATAAATAAAAAGTTTTCATGAAAATTTGAAACTTAAAAGCAAAATTAAACTTATTTTAAAATTTAACAAAATTTGGAAACAATTTAACAAAGTTTGAAAACAAAACAATAAAATAAAAATCGAAAACAAGAAAATAAATCTTAATCCTAAAGATTCATAAAGAATTGAAGCATACGAGCCACACCATCGCCCATCCAATCCATCGAGGGAGGATCTTATGCCATTGCTGCACTAGCATGCCTTGGTATATTCCCAAGCGACATTTGTTACTTTAAACTCCGGACAGACAGACGGACGACGAAGCTAAAAAATTAAATTCCGCGGTTTTCCTGTGAAGAAAAGAAAGATAGAAATTAGAAGGGATAAACAAATGAATTTAGATTTAAATTTTTACCCACCTTTTTGGTTAATGCACAGGTTTACGACGTTGAAAAGAGCTCTCTTCAAGGTTAGGTAACCAGGCATTTTATTTCGCTCTTCGATTTTAAGTGGTATCGACCTCAATCCATTGTTTGTCCTTTCCTGAAATTGAAAGAAAAAGGAATATAATTAAATTAAATTGAACGTGAAATATATTGAATTATGGCGAGAGGTGTTCTCGGAGGGAGGGCTATTTCCTGGTCGGTCAGCCGCCAGGAGCACTGTTTCTGTGGTGAAAGTAAAATGTGATTTGGTTGTAGTTTTGGTGAATGTTCTTTTTTTTTCTTTCGCACTTTTTTGACATGTTTCACTTTCCTTTTATCAAATTAATTTGAATTTTTTTGCAAGTCCGATATGATTATTTGTTTTTGTTCAACCGAAAACGTCTGAAAAGTGGCAGGAACCAACCCCCAATCCGACGAGCCATAGCCGCGCTATACGCCAGCATACCGGCAACGCCACTTAAGGACAGACACAGCTATTTTTGGTTTATTTTCGTGGAACACGTTTGTAACGTATCTTCGTGAAAATCTACAAAAATACATTTTGATGTTTATGTATATTTGATGTTATCACAGTAATTCATTATAAAAGAAAAAAAAAAACAGAAAATATATATGTTGCTTACATGTAAAAAATCCATAAAAATGTCAAGTTTTACTTAAACCTACGATAGGATTTCACTATCATCGTTGTAAATATTGCACTGAGTTATTTATTTTACGGTAGCAATAAGCTGCGTTATCCGTGTCGCTCTTATAGTTTTTTTTACTGCAAATTTTTGAAAAAAAAATTGTAAATATATGATTACATTACTTTTCCTTCTTAATTCTACCATGTTCAAAAGCTAGTCTGGCAAATTAAAATTTAATTAAATTTTCGCAGTTATTGTGTTTTTAGAAGTTTTAAATTGTGATTTTTTAAATATATACATTTCAATAGTTTGCAAAAGTGTGAAGTTTTTGTGAAATATAGTGTTTTTATACTATTTTACTAAATTTAATTTTGTGCGCGTTGATAATCTTATTGGTGTTTTTAGTATTTTTTTCTTTGTTTGTTATTTACAACGAAGTGTTATTTCTTTTACGTTTGTGCCTGATTCCCTTTTGCTGTCCTGAACGTATTAAATATTAAATAAGCTTTCCTGAGCATACTTTTAGGCTGTTACTGTAAATTGATTACTACACTATTTCCCTAATACACTGTTTCTTTAGTATTTCGAATTAACATGGAGTGCTCGAATAAAAATTGCAAAATTACTACTTTTAAAGAACGTTTACTAACATGTTGGATATGCAATAAGCATGAACATTTAAAATGTGCAGGTCTTAATGGCCGCCATTTTGATGTTCTTACTGATCGCGAAAAATATGGTTTACGTTGGGCATGTATTGACTGTAGGCCCTTAGAAATTAGCTTTTATACTCATTTCAAGCAGTCTAAAATTGAATTAGCAGATTTGAAGAAGGTTTTCGACGAAGCATATTTAAAGCTTCAGAATTTTGAAAAAAATTAATAATTTTCAATTCCTGGATGGATCTCCAAAACGAAAGAAATCCTCAGTTTTTGTACCTGGTGATGATTTGATCCGTTTAAATTCACCAGCTGTGGCTCAGCCACACAACGCTGCCAAATCTTTTGGCTCTGACATCCCACCCTCTGTTAATGATAAAACTATTGAAATTGTTACAGGAAATGCTCCGGTCGAAATGCAATCTTTTAAAACCGTACCTACAGCTTCTCAATTCTTAGCGCCTGCAATTGTTGTTAACTCGTCCAGTACAATAGCTAATACTATTCCTGTAATTTATACCGATAACACTAATAAGCAAACGTTATCTTCTCCACGTTCGGCAGAACCGTTAAGGAAGCTTCTGTTACTGCAGAATCTAATAAGCCTTTCGTTCTGGCCAAGCTTCCAGCGGTTATAGAAACAAAATCTGCAGATAAATATAAAAATAATCTATCTGTTTCTGCAGACATTAACAAAGTAATCCCTACGCCTTCTGATTTAAATGAAAAGTCTGTTTCTGCAGACAATAATAATGAACTCCCTATGCCTTTGCCTATGGATCAACTTATTGTTGTAGCGCCGCGTAAAACTATATTTGTGTCCCGATTGCATCCCGATACTACAGTTGATAACCTTCGGTCTGATAAAAACAAAGAATCCAAATTTACCTGATAATAGCATAAACATTTTTAAATTTAACACGTCCCAACCTCGCGATATTTCATCATTTAAAATCATTACTCATGCTAAATTTTTGAATTTAATAGTTAATAGAAAGTTCTGGCCGGATGGATTGTTGGTAAAGAAAGGAGGTATTTAGGGAAAGAACAAACCCCGTTAATTTACGGGTTATCTTTCAGTTTTAGCATTGTCAAAAAACTAACTAAATCTCTATCTCTTCTTTATCAAAACGTGAGAGGTCTTAAAATTTCTAAACTTAGAAATATTTATTTAAAATCCTTTGACTGTGATTTCAAAATGTTGGTATTCACGGAAACATGGTTAAAACCACAAATTCGTGACGCTGAGATTTTATCAAATCAGTACCAAATGTACAGAAGACAGATTAAATAAAATTAGTGGAGGAGT